ACAGCTTGAGGCTCTGTCTCAAAAGAAAAAAAGGAATAAAGGCTAGAAGGGGAATGAAAAGTTGCTGAAAAGGAAGGCAGCGTCCTCTTCGGAGAGGGCAGGACAGCTCCAAAGAAGGGCCACCCTTAGAGTTTTGCCTCCCCTATACCATTGTGGTGGGAGGCTCAGCAGCCCAGCCAGGCTCCAGGCCTCGTGGTCAGGCTAGGTGACGACTCTAGCAGCCCTGTTCTCTCCTTGGCTCACCTTTTCTCTTCTCCTATTATTACAGAAGATTCTAATTTGTCAAAGGTTTAGGGTTTGCCATGTGGCTGAGAGTGCCAAGAGCTGCCTTTTATGGCATTTAGCCTTCCAGTGGCATGTTTAGTGTTGGGCGTTGTGGTGCAATGGGCAGGGAGAGAAGGAGGCTGTGTCTAGGAGGGCAATTGTCAGATCAGCTGCTTCTGACCTTGCAGTCATACCCTGTGGCAGTGGCTATAACCACAGGTGGCTCTTCCAGCCTATTGTCCCTGGGCAGTACCCCAGGGGCTGGCTGGCTGGCTGGCCCGCCCATTATCTGGGCTGCTGAGGTACAGTCAACCTAGTACTTTCCAGGCTACTCCTGACTTGGGTGCTTGGGATTCTGGGTGATTCAAGGGTGCTCAGAAGCCTAGGCCAGGTTCCTGGATCCCAGCAACCTTCAACAGGTGGCTGGGCTGCCTGATGTGTGCAGCCAGCCATATTGAAGCTGCCAGAGTGTATGGGGTCTATGCAGCAGGCTTGGGCGGTGCTAGGCGAGGTTGCACAGCAGAACTGCGAGCCTTAGATAAGCTGAGGGCTATAAGGGACACTGCTGGAGCAAGAGCTAGCCTGTATGGGTGAGGGGCTTGGGGTCAGAGGGAGGGTGTGGCTGCTGTGTCTGGGTGCCTTCTACAACCCATCTACATGTGGTTCCTTGGGTAACTCACGGGTGTGCCGCAGCCATCCCCTCCAGCCCCCAAGTGGCCAATGTACTGCTCTAGGCTTACCTCATTCCCCTCCCACAGCCCTGGGGGCCGCCTATGGCACAGCCAAGAGCGGCACCGGCATCGCTGCCATGTCTGTCATGCGGCCAGAGCTGATCATGAAGTCCATCATCCCGGTGGTCATGGCTGGTATCATTGCCATCTATGGCCTGGTGGTGGCAGTGCTCATCGCCAACTCCCTGAACGACGGCATCAGCCTATATAGGTAAGTGCTGGGTCCTTCAGGCCTGGGAACTGGGGGGAGGGGAATGTTTGGCCTGTGGTTGGGTCCCCACTGTCGTCCTCCCATAGCATGCAGGCTGCTGACATCAGGTCCTTGTTTCTTCTTCCCCCTAGGAGTTTCCTCCAGCTGGGCGCGGGCCTAAGTGTGGGCCTTAGCGGCCTAGCGGCTGGCTTCGCCATTGGCATTGTGGGGGACGCTGGTGTGCGAGGCACTGCCCAGCAGCCGCGCCTGTTCGTGGGCATGATCCTGATTCTCATCTTCGCCGAGGTGCTCGGCCTGTATGGTCTCATCGTTGCCCTCATCCTCTCCACAAAGTAGTCCCTCTCTGAGCCCACCAGCCACAGAATATGATGTAAAGACCACCCCCTCCTCATTCCAGAAGGAACAGCCTGGCACAGCACGGGACGCCCCCTAGTCTGTCTTGTACATGCGCAGTGTCCTAGTGCCCATCGTCTGTTTCCCTGGCCTTGCCCCTGCCGCCCCGTGCCGTGGACATCTGGGCCCCCTCATCCACCCCTCCAGGCCCTGGCCAGTGAGGATGCAGGCCGCCGGCCACCCCACCACCTGCTCTAGAGTGCTGTGTATAAGGATGAATTAGAGTTGTCCTTTTTCTCTTCACTGGATGTTTATTTATAAAGATTTGATCTGTTCATATGTCTGTGGAGAAGCCCTCATCTTCCTACTATATAGTAACCCCTAGATAGTGTCACGCTGTGGGTCCCCGTTTGCTGAGATTTATTGGATGAACCCCCCTCTATCGGGCCTGGGGGGTG